ATTTATACACAGATTAAATTAATGAACTTTATAACTTTTAATAACTATTTTAAGTATTTTAGCTGAAAGAATAAAGAATAAAAGTACAGAGGGAATCAGACAGGTGAGTTACCTGCAGAGCAGCTCTTCTTCTCCTCTCAGCAGGTGATGAGCTCTGACCTGTGCAGGTGCAGGACAGGCTCTTATTACAAGGCTCCGCCCACTACAGCAGCTCCACCTGATGACACACCCACACCTGAACACAGCCAGTCCAGGTGTGTTCCGGTTGTTGTTGATATAAAAACTTCCGGTGTGTGTGCACCTGACGGTTCCATAGTGTAGCGGTTATCACGTCTGCTTTACACGCAGAAGGTCCTGGGTTCGAGCCCCAGTGGAACCAGAACTTTTTCTACTTCCTGTTTTTCTACCAAACCAAACAAAACTCACCAGGTTCAGAAACTACAGTTCAGATCTACTAAAACCACTGTCAAAAAGGAAAAACATGCGAAGAAGATAGCTTCTCCATCGTTTCCGGTTCAAGACGTTTTCAAAATAAAAGCTTGASTTTTATCAGGTCACGTTTGTATGAAGGGACCGCCTGTAAGAGAATAAGTGGTTTGAGTGAAATAAGTCGGTCATCTTCCTCCACTTCGAGCAAAACGAGCTGGAGATGCCGGGGATTGAACCCGGGACCTCATACATGCGAAGCATGCGCTCTACCACTGAGCTACATCCCCACAACATGGCGCTGAGCCGCAGCACTGCTCTTCATGGTGGAGACACTCCCGCCCCGTGGGCGCCACGAACTAGTTCTTCCTGATAAACATTTCACATGCTTGTTTACGCAACAGGTTGTGTGTTGTTTGTGTGTGTGTTTGTTAAATATCAAGAGAACTGTAAATAGATTTAAAAAACTCAACTCCGGTCCAGTTTATCTTTATAAAAACACAAGTTTTGATACAATCCAGTCCACGTTTTCACCACAACCCGTGATGTTACACAACGCACATAACAGGTTGTTACACACTCCGTGTTTTTACACAAACCTGTAAACAGTGTGCAGTGCAGCGGGAGAACATGGAGCRACCAGGTGTGTGTGTGTCTCCTCCCACATGACAACAGGTGAGTCACGTGTAAAATTAACTAACYTGTTAGAAAGAAAAGAGAGAGATAACTCCCTGACTTTATACATCATCATTAATGACACCTAATTTCACCTAATTTCACCTCACTGACTCTACACATCATCATTAATGACACCTAATTTCACCTAATTTCACCTCACTGACTCTACACATCATCATTAATGACACCTAATTTCACCTAATTTCACCTAATTT